GCAGTACCACAACCAGTTATGGAGCAAGAAAACATAATCCACGGTCACCAAATCTCCATATATACTAGTTAGAATAGTAATGATAATAAGATATTGGAAATTGCAATAAAAATATAAGTAGTAAAAAAGACTTCTAGTACCATATGATACCAATATGGTATACATGTATACCAACAGAGTATATGATTGCTCTAGAATTGCTACAACTATCTGCACTATACTACTGTACCAAAACATTAAAGGATGCAATAAAAGTATGAGAAAATTACATGCTTGCATTGCAAGCTAAATATTCGCAAAGCAACTTTCTCATTCCGTATACTAACATGGTATATAGTTGTGGGGTTGTTCCAACAATTGCCTATAACTATAAAAACTATTAAATAATACGCATAATCTATGTCCATCGGCACAAAAAAATTCCAGCACTGCAAATTATATTCGCATAAATAATTTCAGAATAGAATTCACTTAAAAATGCAGCTAAAATAACCAAAAAAATGTTTAAACTACTATATGATACCAATATAGCATATAACTATACCAACATGGTATACAGTTTTACTGGTTAATTTCCGGCAACTATATGACTATACTACAATTACATAACACACATGCATAAAGAGAAAAATAAAAAAAAAATAGTGTACCACATACTAATATAATAAAGTATTTCAAGATTTGTACTATATTACTATTATTAAAAGAAAATTAAATAGTGTACCAATTAAATGTAGCTAATACAATAAAAATAATAATTCAACTAGCATATGATACCAATATAGTATATAGCTATACTAATAGGGTATATAGTTGTACATGATCGTTACAACAACTGCATATAAATATAAAAAATATTACATAATACACAAAATCTATGTCCGTAGGTACAAGAAAATCCAACATAGCAAAACATGATCATATAAATCATTTCAGAATAGAATTCACTAAAAAACGCAGCTAAAACAACCAAAAAATATACCAACTACCATATGATATCAATATGACATATAATTATACCAATATGGTATACAGTTCTACTAATTAATTCTAGGCAACTATATGTGACTATACTACTATTACATAATACACACGCATAAAGAGAAAAATCAAAAAATAGTATACCATATATTAATATAATAATGTATTTCAAGATATTTTACTATAATACTATTATATAAAACAAACGCATAAAGAAAAAATCAAAATGATTACATAATACACATGCATAAAGGAAAACTAAAAAAAATTAAGATACTGTAGTATTCTACTATTACTAAAGATAAATCAAATAGTGTACCAATTAAATGTAGCTAATACAGCTAAAAAATATTTCAACTAACATATGATACAGTATAGTATATAGCTATACCAACAGGGTATACAATTGTACGCAAAGAGTTTAAAAAGGATTTTTTTAATTCAATTATTAAACTAAAATAATATCAATTGTCAATAGAAAATTTAAATTTTTTTAAAAGGACCTAATTATAAGAGTATACTGTTACATTATATAGTATACGATAATAGTATATCATTGGAATGAACTGTATACGAAAATGGTATATAGTATATCATTTCGGTGTACAGTACAAATTCTTCTTCACTAGTTCAACGCAATAAATTATACACTATTGAATTACCAAAATGTTATATAATATGTTATTTTGGTATATAGATGATTGGTTCATTCCTTTCAAAAAAATTAGTAGTATACTATTGTAATTAATTATATACTCTTGAATTAATTATTGTATACCAATACAGTATTGTCACGCCCCAACCTCGGGGAGCGCGATCGGTGCTCCGAGTGGACCCAGTCGAGCAAGCTTGTTAGACACTTCATACCCAACTCGCTTATGATCAAGAGAAGGCGCGTTACCATTAGTTGAACAGTGGAAAGATCATATATATAAACATTACTAATTCATTTCATTTCGTTTTGCTACATCATAGTTAAGTTCCCAAAATATATACACTTTACGATTTAGCGGAACAAGAGTCCAAAATACAGCATAATCCGTCTGGCCTTTCTAGCACCCATACACAACCCACATAACGTCTACGGAGCCTCTAAAATACAAAAGATAGTTATGATAATGCCGGCGACAAGGCCCTGGCTATACCTCAAAACGTGGTAAAAATATAAACAAGAGATACAATACATGACCCCGAGATGAAATGGGGCTCACCAAGACTATTGAGAAGAGGATGCACCACTAGCTGCGATCAACACTGTCTGCTATGGAACCACCTACATCTATTTAAAGATGTAACGCCCCTGGCAAAAAGGACATTAGTACTGTCAAATAGTACTAGTAGTAAAGCCAAAACACCACTCAAATAAAATGAACAGTAATACACGGGGAAAAATAGTCATGAGTTCAATAAGAGCTTCAAACAATACTAAAATATCAAGTAAGGGTCACATAAGTTCTCAATCAATTTCCATCTTATTAGGTTGGGTAATCCTTAGTGCCATGTACCACAATCCACAATACCACCGTGTTCTTACACGGAGTCCGATCTCGACCCGATCGGCTAGGTCATCTTATTTGAAACATCAACCATATCCACAATTTCAATCATCATTTCCAGCACAATTACCACCATGTGTGCGACATGGCGTCCGATCACGGTCCGATCGGCTAGTCCATCTCACTTGAGACATCATCCTTTCATTCAATCATCTCACTTCATATTTCTTTTCCATCTTTCAATACATTGGCACGAGTGACCTCATTTATTAAGTCGCTCTTGGCACTTGGCCGTATTTCACGATTCAAGTTTTCCTTTTTACACATTCAATAACATTATCATCAGGAACAATAAGGCCTATCATGTAAGGCATTTGTACACATAAGGAAAAACTTGAAAAATTCTAAGCATATAGAGGCCTTTCATACAAATTGGCATAACAACCTTTATTTGATTTTTGACATGAAGTGTTAACCTTTCTTAACACATCTTCCACATTTTAAACATATCCTCAAAGGGAAATATGACATGATAAGCATTTAGTACAAATATTAAACATATATCATTCAACACAACACATTTGGGATAGTCAATTCTAGTATGATCAATTTTGGGACTTACACCAATTACACGAACACCTAGGGTTTCGATTCTAAGAAAAAGGAGTTTTATCCATACATACCTCAATTAAGCTCCCTTAAATTTTAAGATGTCCCGGAATATTAGCAACTTCAATCTATTTTAATAATATAGCAAAATTGAACCAAAAATTAGGAAAACGATCATGATTTTAGCTCACTTGAGCATTTTATCAAACACTATGTGTGTATTAAGGTTTCATGGCCCTTTTTATGAAAAATTACACCAACCCACACCCGTTCTTTTCCATCTTTTACTCACAACCTCCCCACATACCTTAAGAACACGTGCATGCAAGGTAAGTAGTCTCATCCCCATGAATTACCTTATTAATGCCCCATTCTAGCTACATTTTGAAATTAGGAGATTGGGTGATAGAACCTTACCTCTTATGAAGAAGACCTAGGTGCCTCTTTTGATGATCTTCAAGGTTTAAGCAAGAATTGAAGAGAAATTTCTTTGATGAAAAACACCTTCTCCCTCTAGGACTCTCTTTCTCACTCTAAAACTATCAGAATTTGGCTCAAAATGGCCTAAGGTAGGTGTTTTAACGGAATAGGGTCGGGTTTAAAAATGAGAAAATAGGAGCTCCGACACAGATCTGCGGTTGCATATGCGGCCGCATAATGCTTCTGCGGTCCGCATAATTGACCCTCCGGAACTGGAATTTTTCTGCCTCGGTCTACGACCAGTCTGCGGTCGCAATTGCGCCGCAGAACTCCCATCTGACAAATCTCAAAGTTGGACATGCGATCAAAGTGCGGCCTGCGAAATGGTTTTGCGATCGCATAATGGGCCGCAAAAATAACATCAAAATTGGCCAAAAAGACTGCCTCACTCTGCGGCCATTATGCAGCCCGCATAGTGCAGAAATGTCTTTTCTGCAAAATATTTTCCTTTAACTTTTTAACGTACTGTTCAATCCAAAAAGTTCGAACTTCTACTACTTTTAACCCCTATGCTTGCTTCGGCACCACAGAATCCGGGTTTTCAGGAAATTTTTTACGGGGCCTTACAAGTATACAATATACCATTTGTCTTCTTTGCTAGTTCAACTCAATTTCAACCCAAAATTTAAAAATCTACTCTAAAATCTCCACTAAATTGACTCGGAATATAGCCACAACATTTCGAACATACCCGCTCAGAATCGTATCAAAATAATCACAAGCTCAACAAACCCAATTTATGAGTTTAAAGCTTCAAGGTCCTCCAATGGCAGATTGATGTTTGTCACAATTAAATCTTCAAAAATCATCATTAACACCACAATCTACACATCATAAAACAATACCCACTAAATTCCAACAATAAACACTTCAAAACCCACATGAAAAATTCATATCTGAAATCTTAAACTTATGCACATGGAGTTTACATTCTTTTTTTTAGTTTGAAATTTTGCCATAATTGAATTACGTGCTCAGCTAATCCAAATACTAAATAAATTAGTAGCTAATTCAATACTGAATTTAAACTGAAACCGAAAGAAAAAGGGATAGAAATAGAGAAAAAGTTTAGCTATTAACCAACAATCTTGCAAAAAAATTAGAATTTAAAGAAAGTTACTTTGTTTTTGGTTGATTAACCAAAGAATAACTAGGAAAGTTTGTCAGTTTGGCTTTAGGAATCTCTTGTGACTGAAGGAGTAGAGTTATGGTGGACGAGGGGTAATAAGTTTGAGTGGGGTGAGTATATTTTGTAATTATTTTCTCAATAAATTTCTCCTTAACCCGAGTCCAACAAATTAAAAGAGCACATGGTCAAGCGCTTGTTTCCCGAGCGTGGGCATTTAATTTCACTTTTATTATCTTCCATTAATTATTCTTCTTTTTCTAGTTAAGTTCGATTTTACTTTCTTTATCCTTACACTGACAAATACAAACAAACATAGAAGTGAAGACAGTACTGAACAGTGACTTGGGAAACTGCGTAGTGAGTTTAGCTAACTAGTGTGTGTGTGTACGAACACAAATTTAAGCTCTACCCTCGAGCTCTTCAACCCCACTCTTCTTCTCTCCTCGTTAGCTTTCTTTCTTCTGCTTCATTTTCTTGGACCTTGAGCCACATTTTCTTTTTCACAAGAAAGCTGGCTTTTCATTTGGTTGACATCTTTTTGGTAAGTTCAAAACTGTTCATTTATCTCATAAGTGTCAAAGAAGGTTTGTTTTTTGTTTTTTGTTCTTTGGAATGCCCAGTTTGGTCTTTCCCTCTGCTTATATGAACTTTGTAGTTGCTAAGAGCACTGATTTCTCATGTGGGTTACTTTCTTTTCTGATAAAGTTTCAGTCTTTGAGGAAATTTTGCCTTTGTTTTACAATGTTGGTTCACATATATAGTTTTAGGAGTCTGGTTTTGGAGGCTTTATGTTTTGCACACACATTAGTGTGAAAGGAAGCTTAGTGTCTTTCGTGTGACCTATAGGTCACGGGTATCACTAATGCGGTAGGCTCTCTACATCACAACTCTTGGTGTGCGACCCTTTTCCGGACCCTAAGTGAACGCGAGATGCCTGCCTTTTTTTTTATTAGTGTGTGCAGTGTAGATGAAAGGGCAATGAAGAGTTTCTAATTTTTTAAAAGTCTATATCACTTAACATAAACATGAATCAGAGAAAAATATCATCCAGAAACTTTAAAGGCGTGTTTGGTAGGAAGGGAAAAGCTTTATAGGAAAATGTTGATATGATGAAAGTAAAACATTTTCCATCAAAAGGAGGATAATGACTTTCCTCACTTACAGGAAGAAGTTATTTTCCTTACAACTATCTTAGTTTGCTTCAGCTAACATGAACATTATTATTTCAAAAAAACTCGATTTGTTGATATTATTATTAATTTTTAATAATACAAACACTAATCAAACACCAGAAAACATTTTTCAGGAAATTATTTTCCATGGAAAATGACTTTGGTCACACCAAACACACCCCAAATTTGTTTTGTTTTTTATATATTTAATTTGCTTTGTATTTTTACATTAATAAACTGTCCCCCAAGTGACTTTTTATCTTAAGTGTAAACATGATTTATCCGTTTGGGTAGGGGGCAGGGGTGTAGAGAAGCTAATAATGCATCTTCCTTTGGTTCAGTTTTCCCTTCTTTTTGGGAAGCATTATCTGTTTATGTCCTTAAAAGTCACTAGTGATTACTGTGTTAAATATACACTTTTGAAATGTTTGCTAAAATGTGGTTTCAAATATCATTTTCTTCTTATGCACAATGTTGTTCCAAAAATGTTATTGTTATAAAGTGTAAGCACTGGAGTAAAAGTTGAAGTAGAATTTAAGAAAGTTGATAAATGGCTTACATAATGATATTTGTTTCTTGGATTGCAACTTTTTGCCTTCTTTCCACTTTTCTGTTTTTCTTTTTTGGTTTCTTCCTCTTATTGTAAGTTTGTTAGTGGGAGTGGAGGTAGTTTATATGGTGTTTTGTTGAAGGGATACTGTTGTTTGCTTGGTGTTATATCCATTTTGAGTGTTAAGTTTTCAGATTCCTCATGAACCATTATCTGTCTATAGTTTTGCATATGTCTATACGATAGCATTTCTTTCTCAGACAATGAATTCTCTTAAATGTTTCCTTTGTTGTGGGTCAGGCGGGTCTTTGACGAAAGCAAATTTAGTTTGTCATTTCTACATTGACTGCTGAGAGGAAACTAATATGCAGACACCAAAAGCAAGGTATTTCTAGTCCATTCACTCTGCTTTTGTTGATCTTCCTTTGCGAGTAAATTCAAGCGCCTTATTGTTGCTTCTTCAATTTTCCGCCCCTTCTTCCATTAGAATGTGAAAATAAAGTGGTTTATTGGTTATGTTGTTAGATCAATTCAAGAGTATCTTAATAATTTATCTACCACGAATTCTTAGTTCCATTTGGTCCCTTTTATTTCATTCTTACATAGCCAAATTGACTTCCAAAACAGCAGATGATGATTGTCTTGAGCCATCGGTCCTTTGAGCGGGGTACTGCTCTGCAACAGTAAATTTAAATAGTACAATCTTAAGAAGCTAATATAGTTGTAAAATATATTTTTGAGATGTTCATAAATCATAACTGAATTGTGCTATGGAAATTAACATGCTATTGGGTGTTAAAGAAGATCAGCTTTGCTATCTCCGGAAAAAGAAAAGTGAAGTGTATTGGAGAAGATTAGATTCCTTTCCTTCATTTACTCAGCTGTCAGCTTCTACATTATCTAGTTGTTGTATCTTATCTGTTTCTTGTAGCTGTGTTTAATTTCCAATACGTAGCCTATTTCTTTGGTTAGTTAAACTTTCTGTGTATAAACTCATCACTGATTTAATAAAAGAATGCAACAGTTTCCAATCTTTCAATATATGCCTCTACTCTTCAAATTGACCTTGAGGGGAGGAGTGGTAGAACAATAATTCAGAGTTCCATTTTGTCTTTTCATGTTGCAGCTGCAGATATTTGATATGTGATCCATCTTTGAGAATCTATTATTTAAACATCTACTTATAATAAAATACAAAAGAAATACTTTACCTCAGTTCTATAAAGTTAATTAGGCAGTGCCATGTTCAGCTTACCAAGGACATGACCCTTGATAGGAAGTTGTGGAGGTCGACAATTAGGGTAGAAGGTTAGTAGGTAGTCGTGCGTCTCCCTTGTCCTGACTAGTAATATCTGTGTTAGTCTTGTACTTTCTTATTTTCAGATTGTTATCATTATCTGTTGGTTCTTTCGCTTCGGTTATGGTATTGTTGCTTGTTGCTACTGCTTCATCTTTTTCATCTTTCCTTGAGCCGAGGATCTACTGGAAACAACCTCTTTACCTTCTCAAGGTAGGGGTAAGGTCAGCATTTACATTACCCTCCCCAGACCCCACTTGTGGGATTACACTGGGCTTGTTGATGTTGTTGTTGTTGTTCTGTAAAATAAATCTACATGTCAGTTGTGAAATCATTCTCTGCTGATAGTTCATGCCTTGTCTACACTTGTTGTTCGCCTTCTCATATGTTTTTTTTCTGAAGGACTGTCTCTGTTGAGGTACCACAAAGGACATCTCCAGCTACACCAAAGACAGCTCGAAAGCTCGGAACTTCAGGGCCAGCTGTTGATTCTGTTTCATCTCCAAATCCAGCAAGCAGGACACCAAAAGACAAGAGTCCCAAAGTTGTTGGTCGCCGGTCACCACGAAGTCCAGCAGTAGAGGTACTTGAGTAATACATTAAGCTTGACTTTCCTTTGCACAATATCTATGGTATATCAAACATGTGCAAATAAAAACATCTCCTCTTTTAAGCTTTTAATTGTTGCTGTTTATCTCATTCTATTAATTGGCAGTTAGAATATACCCTTTATGATTAGTTAAAATCTGCAGAACTCTCTGCTACTGTTTCCTTCTTTGCTCAGTTTTTTCATCCTGTTATGGTGGAAATAATTGTCGCACATTCATTAAACACAGTGCTCCTGTTGCCTGTCTGACTGGCTGGTTCAAGGCAGTTGCACTATTTGATGGCAAACTTACTCTACTTATACAACTTTAGAAGTCGAGAATTCACAAATTTTCTCTTCCTTATATTATTGCTGTTTTAGTTGCTCTATTCCTACTTAAAGGCCTAATGTTACTAAGATGCTCATTGTTCTATTGTAAAACACAGCAGAAGCGTCTAGGCAGAGTGTCCGGTTTGGAAGACCAACTTGCTCAACTCCAAGAGGAGGTGAAGAAGGCAAAGGAACAACTCAGTTCATCAGAGTCATTGAAGAAAAAGTCCGAACAAGAGGTTGACGAATTCAAGAAGCAGATTGCGGCCATGTCAGAGAAGCTCGAGGAGTCTGAGAAGCAGCTGCTTGAGCGCTCAGATTCTGAGGAAGCTCGACTCCTGGAGCAACGCAAGATCTCACAAGATCGGGATCGAGCATGGGAATCTGAACTTGAGGCTGTAACAAAGCAGCATGAATTGGACTCTACCGCTCTGGCTTCTGCCATGAATGAAATCCAGAAGCTTAAACTGCAGCTTGATAGAGTAGCTGATTCTGAAGTTACTCAAGCTCGCCATGCTGAATCAGCTCATGCTGAGACCCAAAGCTTAAGGGTAAAACTCCACAAAACCGTTTCATTGCTTGAGCAATTACAAAACCAGTTAAACAAAAGCAAGGAATCTGAAGCTAGTGTACTTGAAGAAGTGAGTAAAGTTCAGTTGGAGCTGGAAGTTGCAAAGGCGACGGGCGATACTCTACGCTCGGAAGGTCTGAAGGCAGTGGAGGCTTGCAAATCCTTGTCATTAGAGTTGGAACAGTCAAAGGTTAAAGTGGCTGCATTGGAGGAACTTGTCAGCAATCTCCAGTCTGATCAAGGCAACAAAAGCATGAACCTGGTAGATCCTTCAGAAAGTGGAATTAATGTGGAAGCTGATGAAATCAAAACTGAGCTCAGTAATCTTATAGATGAAGTAAATGAATTAAGAGCTGCATTGGAGGATTCCGAGAGAAGGTATCTGGAGGAATGCATCCAGAGCACCTTGCAGATAACAAGTGCTTATGAGATAGTGGCGTGCACAAAGTCTGAATCGATTCAAAGAGGTACTGAATGGAATTCAAAGTTAAATGCTGCAAAAGCAGATATGAAAGAGTTAAAGGAGACACTGATGAACAAAGAAGCTGAACTACAAAAGATTTCAGATGAAAATAAGGCCCTATATTTACAAGTCGAAGAAATACAGGCAGCTGACAGAGAAACTGAATTGCAAGCTGAATTGAAGAAATCAGAGTCAATCCTGGCAGATCTAAGGGCAAGTTTATTTGATAAAGAGACGGAGGTGCAGAGTACCACTGAGGAGAATGAGATGCTGAAGTCTGAAATGAAGAAGAGGGAAATGGAGAGTACCAAAGTGAATGATGAGGTTCTTGCCTTAGCAGAAGCTGCGAAAACTTCTGAAAGAGAGGCCCTGATGAAACTGGGGTATTTGACTGAGGAAGCAGATAAAAGTAGCAGAAAAGCAGCACGGGTCATTGAGGAGTTGGATGCAGCACAGACGGCTAACTCTGAGATGGAAGCTGAGTTAAGGAGGTTAAAAGTACAATCTGATCAATGGAGAAAAGCTGCTGAAGCAGCTGCAGCTATGCTATCAACTAGCAATAACGGGAAATATGTCGAGAGAACAGGCTCTTTAGACTACCACACTATTGGTGGAAAGCTGCGTTCTCCATTGTCTGAAGATATGGATAATGATTACTCACCCAAGAAGAAGAATGGCAATATGTTGAAGAAGATCGGTAGTTTATTAAAAAAGGGCCACAAATAGATGCATATCATGCAGGTTGCTTCCAAATGAACATTGTTCTATTTCTCTTATCATCATTGTCTAGTTTTTTCTTTTTCTTGTTTTTGCTAATATATCTACTATTTTTCCTTCACAGGTATTTTTACTGAGCTTCGGCCTCCTGGAAAATCTCTTAGCTGATTTTTGTAAAGCTATTCCGAAATTGATGAGGCCTCTGTGATCTCACCTGCCAATACTAATATGCTTCCTTAGGTGATAGTAGTAAGCAATGTAACTTCATTCGAAATTTTCAGTTTATTTTGCAGTTGGAGCTTTCATATATAGACTACTGTAAGTTCCAACATGTTCTACTAAGTGTAATGAATCCCAGGCAGTTGATTAATCGTAGAACTTGCTGTATCGGTTATTTTAGATTTTTATAATTTAAAGATGGCAATATGGATGAATTTTCAATGTAGATTGGAACTAGTGTGTGCTTCATATAAGCACTTGTTTTTTGGATAAGTACTTGTATATGAAGAGCATTAATAGTTGTAGAAAAATTTAAAGGCGTGGTCCTTTATTATTTTTAAAATAAGTATTTGGAGTAATTTCATTAATCTAAACACTTGCTTGATGATACATGGGATGTTGCTAACTCTCCTACTAAATGTAGGAATCAAATTCATCACTTCCATTCTAATACATGTTCTCAAGGCATTTACATTCTCAATCAAATAAAAAACAAAGAAATCTTTATACATATTACATATTACTAGAAGTTATAATTTTATCTAATTGTACAATTAATGACGTTTGAGTCCAAATTTCTAGCTAATTAAGCTCTGATCCCCCTCCCCCCCCCCCCCCAAACAATGTGGGATTTCCCGCGGCAAATCCGGATTTAGTCGGGCCTCAATGTTGGTACCGGACACTGGGTGGGAAACCAGTACCATTCTCTTTTCTTTTTTGTCAATTAATTCCCACTTTCTTTTTTCTTGTTTAAATTTTATTATTAAAAAAAATTAGATCATAGAGCATGCAAATTTCTTGCGCATCTTTAAACAGAATCTTATCTATTTACTTTTAAGATGTGAAGTAAGGAAAATAAATTGTCTTCTTGAGAAAAAAAAGTAGAAACTATATCAAGAAAACTTAAGTTTAATAATTTTCATTTCGATAGATCTAAAAAGGTCATTTTCTTAAATTTAAAATTGTAAAGGGCCATGATGTACAAATAGCACGAGTTTCTCGACGGTTTGATTTGGGCATATTCGATTATGGAGAATTAACCTAAATAGCCGCCCTCGGTTAGGCCTCATTTGTTTGCACTTAATGGAGATCTGAATCTTAATCATTCAGATCTCAGAAATTAAGTGCATTTGTTTTTAAAGTTCATTAAGTTTATTTGTTTTTTTTTTTTACTTCACAATCACTTAATGGGTCTTAATAGGTTTGTATGAATAAGATCTATAACAAAGACTTAATTTTATTAAGATGCTATCATCCACATTTATTATTAATTGCCAGAACCGCCTATCATTATCAACTATTACCATGCCACCCCCTACCACCATACTCAACCACCACCATCATCACTACCACCTCCTCAATCATAGCAGCCACCATTATCGACAACCACCCCCAGAATTTTCACTACCCCCACCACCATTATTCTCAACCACAACCACAAACTCATCCACCGCAACTACCACGATTAACCACCCCATCACCATCAACAACCATACCCGGCACTGCCCACCATTTTAAACTACCACCACCTTCCTCAATCTCAACCACAACCACCACTCCCATTATTAATTATTACCACCTACCACCATCATTCTCAACCATAATAGCCATCACTACCAATTAGCACTAGCTACTACTCTGAACCACTACCAATTACACCCTCTAGTCTGCATTCACAGCACCACTGTTAGCAATCACCACCACTAACTACCACATTTTATTAAAAATATATATTTTATTTATAGAATACTAGATTAATTAGTATTTTATTTAAATTTTATGTTTATTAATTTTTAAATAAAGATAAATTTTATATTCAGATGTTAAAAAATAAACATCTTAATTATTTACTAGTCACCTCTTAATATACATCTTAATATTGATATGTCTATTCAGATTCAAATGTCTTAATCTTAATGCACATCTTGATATTTAGATGTGTATTCATATTCAGAAAAGAAAAAAAAAAACAAATGAGGCCTTAGTGTCTCCCAAATGTATGAGATTTTACCTTGTGTATTGCAAAAGAGCTCCTCCCCACGCACTAAGGCTGTATTGTGGGTCGGGCCCAGCTCGGGACCGCCCCGAGACCGTGAGACCACGGGCCAAACGGGCCGGTTCAAACGGTCCGGTCCCAAACGGTCCTAAAAGCCCACTGTGGGCCGGTCCTCCAGGTTGAGACCGCGAGCCCGGGACCGTTTAGCCCGGAACCGGCTGGCGGGCCTGGGCCGGTTCAACCGGGCCAAGCGGTTTTTTTTCAAAAAAAAAAAATTGGCCAACGGTTGGAAGTTTAAAAACTAGCAGTTGGCCTGCCAATTTAGCCGTTTGGCTTTTTAAAAAATAGCCATTTGGCCCCCAAACTTTTTATAATTACACTTTTTCCCTATTCTCAACTATAAATACTCTCTCATTCTTTCATTTTTACTCACAAAATCATCAATCTCTCTCAATCTCTCTCATTCTCTCTCTAATTTTCTTCTATAATTGCTTACTTTATTATTGCAATTTGTGAAAAATTGTGAAGTTGGTGAATTGAAGTATTCAAGTCTTCAAGTCTTCAACGATATACAATTTTCAAAAGTTGTTCGTCAATTCGGTAAACTCGTTCCAACTCTTAAGTTTTAATATTATAGTTTTGTTTGTTTTAATTTGTATAATTATAATTAATATGGCATTTTCTTTGAAAAAATATTTGGTGGTATGGGAAAATCTAAAATTGGTGAATCTAGTCGCCAAGCTACTACTCCTCCCCCGACTCTCCGACCCAGACCTGTTACCCGTCCTCCTCCACCTGTTATTCTTGATAGTGATAACCCTTGTTTTCAATTTATCGATAGTCAATTTTGCCATGATGTTGCACCAGTTCAACAATTAAATGATGAATATATGAATACTCTTTATCCTAATGAAACTATCGATGAAAATGATGAGAAAAATGATGATTTAGATGAAACGCAATCAGATTTAGATGATACACCTACTAGTCCTGTTGTTAACCCAACTGATAATAATCCAAATGATGCCCCGCCTGACCCTCTTGTAGTAACCCCTACTTTTAATAGACAACCTTCTAAACGGCCCGAAACATCTCTTGTTTGGCACTTTTTTACTCAACTAAGAGAACAAAATAAGGCTAAGTGTAAAACTTGTGGTATTTGATGGCTCATAAATATACTGGAGACCGTAGCGGTATGGGTAGTTTGACTAGACACATAAAGAAACACCCTAGAGATAAAGCTAGATATCTTCAAATGAAAGCTGCGCAAGAGGGGAGAAGTGTAGGTACTAAGGTTAACCCTAGTACCGGGTCAAATCTAGTTCAACCGGGAATTAACACTGTTACCGGTGGCATTTTATATTACGATCCAAATAAAGATCGTGAAGAATTGGAAAAAATGGTTACTGTTATGTGCTTACCCTATAGTTTTCCTTCTAACCCTCACTTTGTGCTATATTAGAAGAGTTTATAATCCTACTTATAAAGGATGGCCTCGCGCAACCGTAAAGAGCGATATTTATAAATATAAACATGAATATGAACAATATTTGCGCTATTTATTTACTCATATATATTGTCGCATTGCTATTACTACTGATATTGGTAGAAGTGGTAATGACTGTGATTATCTTACTGTAACCACTCATTGGATTGATGAGGAATGGAAAATGCAAAAGCGCATTATTGCTTATAGAATAATTAACTCACGTCACACAGGTAAGTTTATTGCTAACACAGTTGCAGATATTTGTAGATTTTTTTGCATTAGAGATAAAATAATGTCAGTTTTTATGGATAATGCTTCTAGTAACACTAATGCTATAGGCTTGCTTACAACTACACTAAATCCTGCATTTAGTAATATGTTCCATGTTAGATGTATTTGTCATATTTACCATTTAATCGTCGGTGATGGTATGAAAATTTTAAATGTGGAAATTAAAAAGGTTAAAATGGCTCTTAATTGGCTTTTTTATTCAAACCGTAGAAGTAGACTTAGAGAATATTTTAAAAAATGTGATGAATTTGGCCTTAGAGAGAGAAAGGTTCCTAAAGCTTGTCCGACTAGATGGAATTACATGTATGAAAGTTTAGTTGTTGCATATGAATATAGAAACCCAATAAACGCAACGTTTAATGCTCGTGTTGGTGGTGATGATGATGATGAGCACCTTACAAATCAGGATTGGACTAATGTTAAAATTCTTGTAGAATTTTTAGAACAATTTCATGTTGCTACAAATGAATTATCTAGGCAATATTATCCTACTATTTCTAACTGTTTAGTTTATATTGCAGCACTTGCAGATTTGTTTGTTCAATTTTCAGAGGGTGGGGTAATTTATCAACTTGCTATTGATTCTATGAAAGATAAGTTTAAAAAATATTTTTTCCCTATCCCCCCTATTTATGGTGTTGCTGCCATGTTAAATCCTACCATGAAATTAGGAGGTCCTCACTTTTGGTATACAAATATTTATAAGGCTTTAGATCTTTCAGATGAGGAATTTGCTACACTTGCAGATGCAAAAGCCTCAATTAAAATAAATGCTCAAACAATTTATAATGCTTATCAACTTGCCTTAGATCATGCTAGACCAAATGTTCCAACTCCTACTTCGTCTAGTTCGCAATCATCTAAAAGAACTGCGGTCCTAAAAGCACTTAGTTCTTGGACGGAGTTCAGGAGTTCTCAAGGTGATAATATTGGTGATACTTCACAACTAAATGAGCTTCAAGTTTATTTGTCGCAGGGAGTTGAAAAAGAGAATCTCGACGGCTCCTTTGATGTTTTGGAATGGTGGAAGGACAAAGAAAAATACTTTCCGGTTCTTTCAAAGATGGCTCGAGATATTTTAAGTGTTCAAGCTTCAACAGTGGCATTGGAGAGCGCTTTCAGTCAAGCGAGACTTTAAATCGGTGATCATAGAGCGTCTATGAGGGAGAGCTTGGAAAAATCAGTACTCTTCAGAGATTGGATCCGTTCGGAAAGAAGAAATTTTGGACTTGCTGAATCACAACCGGAGATAGACGAAGCTTATGAAGAAATGCTAGCAGAACTTGCGGAGGATGCTGCTTCGCCCTGAAGCGGTGATGAACAAGCTTCTTTTCCGCAACCACCAACGGAAATTCCTCCGAATCTTGAAGGATTATGAAATTTGTTAGAGATAATATGTAGACTAATATGTAACTTGTATTTTGGCACATCTTCATTAGTTCTTTTTCCT